TTAAAAGTTCAGCATTTTTAAATTATAAGGTTGAATAAAATTCAACTTTAAAGGACCAAAAAAATAGGTTAATCAATAATAAATTGACTACAATTTTTTTTAAATAAGAATACTCATTTTCGAATAAGTAATATTCTCAAAACAAAGGTGATAGAAAAAATATAATTTCAGATATAAAATCACCATAAAAATTTAATTTAGCAAAATATATATTGGTCTATAATCATTAAAAAATGTTTCATTTTATTGATATGATTTACTGCATCATTTAGCATAATAACAAATTTTATACCCTTATTATTTGTGAAGATATGTGACTAAAAAATGTGTTGTTTGAATTTGTTATTTTTTACAGTAGCATAATTTTGAGATATTTGTTTAAATTTCAAAAAATTAAGGGAGTTGTTCCAATATTTAGTAACTATATTAAAATCGTGTTCCTTTGACGTATTGATCAAAATTGGTCCAGTGAGAGCTAAGAATTTTTATGAACAGATATAAAACAACATTACAAAATGAATCACAAATAAGATTAATATGTAGTCAGGAAATTTAAAATTCAGTATTTATAGTTCATTTATGAGAAAAACTCAATATTTAGTTAAAATCATTTTTTTGCATTTTTATCATAATCATATCAATAGATATCGTAGTCATGATTTCTATGTAACTCATGATGTTTAAAACGATTCTACAATTGAAATGTTCAGAACTTAATTAATTTTGATGATTTACTTTAACTAAAAAATCCTGTGTGAATGAAATAATTATTACTATCGTAGCAACTATACACCGCTTGTACAATTAGTTAAAAAGGACAATTTAAACAAGTTAAAAAATTCAAAGTCGAAAATAACTTCAAAATAAGTTTAAATATATATTCAATGTAAGTTAAATTCTTGTAAATTTTATAAGAATCAGTAGCCTCATTTCTACGACAACCATTGCAAGGTATTAAAAAAAAAATTGAATACAAAATTAATGTGTTTTTTAACTACGGCAATCATTTGCACATTGAAGATAGATCGTTGAGACAATTTTTTTTTTAATTAATAGACGTAATATAAGCTTTAATTTAACATATGTTCAAGGACGTAATAACTCCGAAACATTTTCAAAAATTAAATTGAAAAATTTGCTATTTTGAATACTCTCCTGTGAGCAAGTAAAGGGTCAGGTTTTCAAAAAATGTATATTAAATGAAAAGAAAATACCAAAGGTGTCAATATTAAAAAAAATGATTTTGATTCATACATTTTTTCATCTTATCTTATCTCAAATGTATTATTTGTATTTATTATTTTAGTGTTGATCTTAGCTANGTAAATTTGTTTCTATTTTAAGGGCAATGTTTTCAACTAGATACGATTGGTGATCTTTTGACGTATCGTTGAAAGAAATCGGTCCGTTAGGAGCTGAGAAAAAGTGGCAACAGACATAAAAAATACAATAGTAAAATAACATAATAGTAAAATTAATTAATATTTTCTCATATATAGATTAAAGCTAAAACTTAAACCTTGCATTAAAAAATATTAAAACTTGAAAATTCTTTTATTTTATTATTTTAGTATAAATAAAAACAAACTTCCTTATTTATATATTTCAAATCTTAATATTAAATTATATGTATATATATAATAAGAAAAGAATATAATTATGCATTCATTAATTTTATTAACATAACTACTCACCATTCTTAATTCCACAAATATTTGAAATTTGTTCATACATGCAGTGCTACCTTAAATAATAATAAAAAAAAATTATAATTCTCTTTTTTTTCTATTTAACATAATATATTATATATTATAATATATTATATTTATAGTTGAATTTTAAAAAACCAAATGTGCTACTACAAGTTAAGCAACAAATACAAAGCATAACTAATGATATCGTTCATGGTTCATGACTTTCTTGTAATTAAAGCTCTGTCCTTTTAACAAAATTATCTATCGTCACCAGTGGATTTTATTTTAAGTACTTGCGCAGACTATACTAAAAATTGACCTTAGCTACTATTTATAATAGGAGCAAATATTTTGATTTTATGAGATTAAATTTTAATCATTAGTATGCATTTGTACATAAGATTGTTTGCTGTAATATTAACTAGGCACACAAATCATATATATTACAATGTGTAAGGAAACTTGACTATTAATATATTAAATTAAAGTAAGTCAATATTTTATACTCGATACATTTTTATTTCTAATTAAAAAATGTGTATTATAAAAAAATTTAAAAATATTAATGCTAGTGCTATAAAAATATTTATTTATTCTATGAAAGACAAGAAAATAATATTTTAATAAAAATTAAATACGTGGTATTTAACTCTATATTAGGTTAATATATGTATTTAACTGATGTACAAAATTCTATTTAAAATAAATAGTTTTATAAAAAATTCCTAATTTGTTAAAAACGGTTGAAAAAAAATATAAAAATATTTTAAAAAATTCTTGTTAAACTTTTGAAAAGTGATTTTCATACAATTCATTCAATTCTATTAGTAAACTTTATATCAATCCTTAGTTGCGTGATATAACAAATAGTTAAATCAAGTTTTTAGTTTNGTGATATAACAAATAGTTAAATCAAGTTTTTAGTTTCCAAATATCATATTTAAACTTTACCAATTGTCATGGTTAAGGGATATATAAATTACATCAAATATTATGATTTTTTTTTAATTAATAAAACTAAAAACGTTTTGGTATCACATCATCTTATCTTATCTCAAATGTATTATTTGTATTTATTATTTTAGTTTTGATCTTAGCTAAGAAGGAATTGGTTTTACTGAATCTTGTTTTTATTTTTGTCAGTATACATGATTACTTTTCTCCTGAT